AGAGAGAGGGAGAGAGAGAGCGAGAGGGTGAGAGGGTGAGCCACGAAGCGATCGAAACCACGGCGGGAGCACAGATTATGTTGCTGCGATTCAAACCACGGCTGGAGCACAGACTGTGGTGATGCGATTCAAACCACGGCTGGAGCACAGACTTAATATGATGATGCGGTTCAAAACACCGCTGATGCTGGAACACAGATGATTATGGCGATTGTTAATTTCTCCTGCAGCAGGTGCTGACAGTGAAGTTTCGGAGGGCCGGGGACGTCCTCCGTGAGGCTTTCGGGATGTACCTGGCAACACTCCACGAGACGGAGCAGTACGCACTCTACCTCCGGAGTGCTCCACACAAGGCTGCCGGACTTGTCTCCGAGTGCTCGGACCCAGGGACCAAGGACAAGATCTTGGCAGAGCTAAAGGATGAGTGGCAGTTGATTCTAGAGCTGGAAGGCTCGGCATCCGGAGCTGCTCTCTTGAGGGCCAACTGTTTGCATTGCACATTCCAGTGCTTTCGTGAAACGATGGGTGCCTATGAGAAAAGCAACTGGAAGCTCGAAGCCGAAGCCAACGGAATCACCGCCGCCTGGTTCCCGTCGTTTTGTCAGTCGGCAAGCTTAGAGTCGGTGTTCGGCGACTTGTCCGACGCATGCAAAAGGTCGGGCCGCAACGACTGCGGCTCCCTCCCCAACCTCCAGTGTGCGGCTGTGAGGAGCCTGCAGAACAGACTCGGCACAGCGGATGGGGCACCCGACCAGGTGCAGCTAAAGAGTAGTGATTGGGAGGGCAACCAGGCTTATGCTGTGAAGCCCAAGATCTTCAACCCTGCCTCCGCGCCGGCTTGTTTCCAGGCTATTATTGATCCATTGGGTGTAGGAGGCAGTGTGAGTGTGTAGGCTTCGAATCAAACCACCACCCACCACCTCAGGCACACGCCTCTCCGTCGACGGCATTTTGAAGCCGTTCCCCGCAACTTCAGCATGGTTCCACACGCAGCACTGCTTGAACTACATGTTGGGGCTTCGCATGGCCCGGCAGCAGCCTGAAAGCAATCGAAGGTTGATACGCCGTGCATTTGTTGATTAACGACAATGAGCCGAGGCAAGGAAAGAATCCGGAAGTCGCGGCTGCTGGCTTCTGGGCGAGCAACTGCTTCGCCACCGGCATGCTGCTGAAGTACAAGGACTGCTTCTACGTGGCCACTGGCAAAACCCCGGGTGTTTTGCAGGAGCCTTCGTCTGGTCCTATGAACTCATGAAGTGTCGGACAGGTTTGTCTCTGCTCAGATCATTTGTCCCACATCCAAGGCAGCTCGCCTGATGGAGCTTCCCTATGTTTTCTCTGGGAAGCTGCCACAGCAGGCGACGGACGAGACGCGAATGCCGTGCAACGCGCCAGTGGAAGAGGACCCCCTCGACGAGGGATCCAGAACCGCGGCTCTGACTTTGGATGTTGGAAGGCCATCGGGATTGCAAGCTGTTTGACAAGTCAGGGCTTGCGAGAGGAGCTGTTTGACAAGGGTCAGGGCTAGCGAAAGACATTGATAAAATGATTGTTGTTGCAGGCATCTGATCCACCAGCTCTGCTTCGAGTACGACGAGGCTTCCCGGCAAGTATAGGTTCCGAGACAGCTGTGGGGCGATTTGTCGTTGATTTTGTGCGAGGTGAGGCTTTATGGCTACACTTTGCACATTTGTGACAAAAGCTTGGAGGCGAAGTGTGGCACAGCTGTGATCCTCAGAAGGGGTCTCCAGGAGCTCCCTTTGATGGAGTATCTGGTGTTTTCGCAGCAGATTCTTCTGTGTACGAATGCATCCCTGACGGAACTGCTGCAGCAGCACGACATCCAGATGCCGAAGAACTCCACGAAGCCCCAGAGGCTCAGGCGAATCTTGGCTATGGATCAGGTCCGGAATGCTTGCGGCGACGCAAAGATCCAGAAGCTGCTCAGTCTCTTGGAAGCAGGAAGCAAAGAAAAAAACAAGGAAAAGGAGAACGAAGAGCAGAAGGACGAGGCTTCTTGTCCCCGCTTGCACTAGTCAACATATGTTCTGTTGTCTTCACTTTTGCCTTGGGAGCTGTGGCGAGAGAGCTAGAGAGCGGCAGACAGAGAGAGAAAAAGAGAGAGAGAGAACAATAGAGCGAGAGAGAAGAGAGAGACAGAGAAAATCCGCTGACGAGGACGAGGTTGAATGGGAGGAGCTTTTGGAAGATCCGGCAACGGAGGCTTGCAAGCAGCTCCTTGCGCGGATGGAAGAAGAAGAGAAGCAGGATGAAGACAAGCAGGACCGTTAGAACCATGATTTTTGTCGGTCTCTTTATTCCTTGCTATTCACGAACCCTAGGAGGCGGAGGCTCCCAAGCCGAGCGATGAGCAGCTACGTGCCTCCAGGGCATTCTTGTCGAGCACGGCTTCGCTTCCTGAAGACTTGCTTCGTCGCATGCCGCTACCGCCGAACACCGCTATGCATCAAACGATCCACTGCGACACCACGTTGCCCCACTTTCAGGGGCGACTCCTGGGCGGACATGTGTATGAGGGCATTTTGGCGGCATTATCTCTTAAAAGACTGTCATGCGGGTAGAGTTGTGTCGCCCAGGTGTCGCATTCGATCAATCAACTGATCTAAGGACCACCCAAGCGGCATCGTACAATCCAGATTTGCCTGCTGGTGATCTTGATCAACGCCGTACCAGCTTGAAGTCAATTCCTGCTGCGAAACGCAGCCAAGCACAGGCATATTTCATTGTCTGGCACTGGCTGTCCAAGGCAGTGAAGACGGTGCCTGCTGAAAGGCCGTCCAAGCGCCAACGTCGTGCTTGAGTCGTTTTTTTTGGGGTTCCCGATGCCATGGT